GGGGGAGTCATTTCAGCTTTTTCTGCACTGATTATGTAGCTAAATGTTAATATGAGGGTAAATTTAGTCACACTGGTTTTTATTCACCAAAGAGACATTTACATTTGGATCCTGTTTGGCTTTTAATCACAAAATTAGATTAAAAAGAAATTTGAGTTTTTCATTTTTGCTCTCTTTAAGTTTCTAAATAAGGAAACTTTAAATACAATTATTTCCACTAAGGCACATTCCCACATGTCATAATATGGTGGTGGCGCAGAGGTTAGAGAGGTGGGCTTGTGATCCGAAGATCGCCGGTTCACGCCCCGGCCCCGACAACATCAAAATTGTGGGTGGGGTAGGTGAAACACCCACACTTGCCCCCACCCTCATTCGCCCCACTCTGGGCCCATGAGCAAGGCCCTTAACCCCCACCATGTGCTCCCTAAAACAGGTCTCTCTTGAAAATGAGTTCTCGTGGCTCAATGAGACTAACCTGGATAAATAAAGGCTAAATGTAAAAAAAAAAAAAAAAAAAAAAAATAATAATAATATTTTTGCATTTATAGTAATAAGCACTTTATTGGTTTTAAAGCTAATTAAATTTAAACCGTGTGTGGAATTATCACGTCTTACAGCTGATTTTACACAAAAACAAAACACACGTGATGAGACAAATACATTTCTGTTGACCTTTGTTAGCTGACTGTTTTTCAAAGAGTGTTTGTCTGGTGCAAAGGAAACTTAAAATAAGTTCTTAAAGCACTGTACTTGTTCGGTTTTAGAAAATGTATAAGCTGTGGTGGTTTAAAGGTTCTGTGGAGGTGCACCAGTGCATCTTCATCACTTTTTGTCCCCTGTCGCAAAGCAAAGAGAGTAATTGGAAAAAGCTGCATTTTGAGCTTGTTAAGTTGAAAGATACAAGAGATATCGACTTCCATTTTGGTGTGTGGCTACATCAAGGTGTAAGAAAGCTCATCGTTAAAAATCGGATTTCCACATCAAAATCAAAGATGGCCACCACTATTTATTTATGTAAACAAGCCATCCGGATCGTTTAAAAAAAACCTCTGCTTTCTAATTTTATTTTGCATTGTATAGTTATATAGCTAAGTATAATTTCCTCAAAAGATTGTGGGTGGCCCTCTGAGTGGTCAAGGATTAATCTATAGGAGTCAAGGCCACCACATGTCACCCCTTGTCTCCTCCATTTTACCTGGTGGTGGATACAGTTGCTCCCCTTTCTCTCCATGATGTGTCACTCTGTGCTGCCTTAGACAAGAACAAAAAAAGAAAAACTCTGTTATTCTCCACAACTCCTACACTCTTGAATATGTTGCACGAAAAACATGCAGGTTTACTTTCATTCCCTGTTCAATTCCAGTGCAGAAAAGCACTCATCTCAAAAATAAAACAAAATCACTATTCTAGTCCCTCAGCAATGGGAGACATCACTGTACTGCTTTATATGTTTAAGAGAAAAGCAGCACTACAAGGATTTGTCAGAAAGTGTTTTATATGAAGATGTGGAGAACTTTTCGACCCTAATATTAGGAACGTTTGAGTGAAAGTTCTTTTTGGATTCACCTCAGAGAATCAACTTTTCAATCTCAGTTTACAAATTGATTGACTTTATTAGTTGGTTAAGGGTAATTATTTAAATTCACTTTCCTCTATAAACTCCTTGTTTGTATAAAATGACAATACAAAATATTACACTGCTTGTTCAGGGGAGTGGACTGGTACTGCTGCAGAACCTCAGCTGTCTGGGCGTTTTACATTTCCACCAGCTGACATCGCTGAACATCTGTGCTGAGCTCTAATCACCTGCTCTCTGCCTGTAGAAGCAAACTGAGCTCATTGCCTGCAGTTGATCCCAGTTAGGTATTAACAGGTGAAGCTTTAGATAACCTGGAAACACAGAACTGATGTCTCGGAGCAAAAAAGTCAGAACCACCATGGATCTACTGAACCATGCAAATGACAAATGAGCTGACTTTCTGTCAGTATACAAGTTTAAATTTGAGAAAGTTTATTTCACAATTTAAATTTCCAAGAAAAATAATCAAAACACAAGTTCTGTGTCTTTAATCTAAAAGTTAAGCCTGCGTGTGCATTCTTTATCTAAAACTGTAATAAAAAGGCTGGTCTTGTTTATTATGAAGCTTTATCTATAGAAATAAACGATATGCTTTATGATTGGCAGAAGCTTGCATTTGTGAATAAAATTAATTGATCCATCCATTATCTTCTGCTTGTTCCAAAGTCGGATCTCAGGGGCAGCAGCTTGATCAGGGAAGTCCAGACATCTCTTTGCACAGCACCTTGTCCAGGGAACATCCTTGCTAGATGCCTGAACCATCTCAACTGGCTCCTTTCGATGTGGAGGAGCAGTGTTTCTACTCTGAGTCTCTCCTGGCTAACTGAACTTCTCACCCCGTCTAAAGGAGAATCCAGCTACCCTGCGGAGCAAACGCATTTCAACCGACTGTATATACGATCTTGTTCTTTTGGTCACTACCCAAAGTTTGTGACCATAGGTAAAGGGGCCGAGATGGTGTAGGTGCAGGGCAGCTGACTCAAGACCCGAAGGTCCTGGGTTTGATCTCAGGTCATTGAATATCTCATAGTGTCTCTGAGCAGGACACCTAATCCCAAATTGCTCCTCTGGTGCTTACATAGCTGCCCACTGTTCCACCTGGGTGTATCCCAGGTGTGATGGGTTAAATGCAGAGAGCCAATTTCATCTTTGTATAGGAACATACAATGATAACAACACTTTATTTTATTTTATTATATATTAAAAGTAGGAACATAGACTGACCGGTAAACAGAGAGCCTCACCTTACAGCTTAGCTCTTTCTTCACTACAACAAACTGGCACAGAGTCTGCAAAACTGCAGGCACTGTACCAATACGTCTGTCAATCTCAGATGAGGCCAGGACGGAACTCACATTGTTACTCCTGGATCTGAGATTTGACCAACGATCAGACTCATGTCTCCAGTACCCCTGAATAGACCTTACCAGGGAGGCTATGGAGAGTGATGCTCCTAGAAACTTTCCGGTCCCCATTTTTGAAGAGGGTATAAGAGGTCACCATCCCAGGCAGTCGGCCATTCCTGTGGTACTGATCCCAATGTCCATGCAATGTTGAAAAGGCGTGTCAACCAAGACAGTCCCACAACATCCAGAGTCTTAAGGAAATCAGGGTGGATCTCATCCACCCCCAGAGCCCTGCTACTGAGCTTTTTCATTATGTCAGCAACCTCAGCCACTATTATGGACAGACCAACCCCGAAGTCCCCTGACTCAGATTCCTCCATGGAAGATGTGCCGGTGGGACTGAGAAGGTTCGAGAATTATTCCTTCCATCTCATGACAAGATCACCGGTTGAGGTAAACAGCATCCCACATTCACTGAACATAGAGTTAGTAAAGCGCTGCTGTCCCCTCCTTAGCCACCTGATGGTTTGTCAGAATTTCCTTTGAGCCAACCGAGAGTCGTTATCCAAGGCCTCACCAAACTCCTCCCACAGCTGAGCTTTTGCTTCAGCAACAGCCAAGGCTAAGGACAGCTTAGCCCTCCGGTACTCCTGAGCAACCTCTGGAGTCCCACCAGCCAACAAGGACTGATAGGACTCCTTCTTCAGCTTGACAGCCTTCCTAACCCAAGGTGTTCACAACTGAGTTTGTGGATGGCCACCATGAGAAACACCAACAACCTTGCAGCCACAGCTCAAGGCCTCAACAATTGAGGTGCAGAACATGACCACCTCAGACTCAATGTCCCCCACCTCAACTAGGATGCAGTTAAAGCTCTCCCAGAGGTGTGAGTTGAAGACCTTTCTGACGGTTTCTTCTGCCACACATTCCCAGTAAACACTCACTACACATTTGGGTCTACTGGGTCTGTCAGGCATCTTGCCCCACCATCTGACCCAACTCACTACCAGATGGTGATCAGTTGACAGCTCAGCTCCTCTCTTCACTCGAGTGTCCAAACAAATGGCTGCAAATCAGATGACACAACTACAAAGTCTATCATCGATCAACCTAGGGCGCCCTGCTGACAAGTGCACTTATGAACACCCTTATGTTCGAACATGATGTTGGTGATGGACAAACTATGACTAGTACTGGAGTCCAACAACAAAACAGTGCTTGGGTTCAAATTAGCGAGGCCGTTCCTCCCTCACACCTCTTCAGGTCACGCTGTCATTATCCACGTGTACAGTGAAGTCAGTTAAGACACCAAATTGATAGATTGATAAATTAATTAATTATATATTATCAGCCACCTTCATTATTGTGCATTGCTATCTAGAATTTTTTTTTTTTTTTTACTGCATGAATCTGATTTATCTGCTATCATTTTTTGGCTTCTTGTAGCAAATGTTCAGCATGTATTGTGGTTTCACACTTAACTTGTTCATTTATTTTTAAAACTCTTGTAGTCATTTGGCCAGTAGTTTTACGTTTGTATTACTGGTTTATTTTTATTTATTTATTTTGCAACATACATTTTTTAGATGTGAAAAATATGACTTGTTAATTAAGCAACTGTTTCTTTCTGTCATCAGTCCCCAAATACCAGTAAAGCTTAATTTTAAAGCATACTGCCACTTTAGCGCCACCTCAAGCTTCAGTCTGGTAAACAGTTAAAACTATTATAATAATGGCTTTATTTTGTTTAATTTCCACTTATCTGCCTTAAACTATGCCCACAGATATGCCCAAGCCTCCAGAGGAGGATGTTTTTATCCTTCCAGACGAGTACAAGTTTACCCCCAGGACCAAACGGGCTGCGCTGATGAAAACCCAGAACAACCAGAAGCTCAACGTGGAGACTCTGGTGGTCGTGGACAGAAAGATGATGGACAACCACGGCCACGAGAACATCACCACATATGTTCTCACTGTCCTCAACATGGTGAGAGGAATAAATATGAGACCAGCTGAGTGTGTGTGTGGGGGGGGGGGGGGGGCTGCTACCAGCTGGCTGACTCATCTGTGTGTTATCTGAAGTATCTGAATGTAGTCGCTGCAGACAACTGAACTTTAGATGGTTAAGTGATATGTGTTGTCATCATTGCATGTACACACAACAACAAAAGTTGTCCTCTGCGTCTAACCTATCACACACATGAGATGCACACAAGTGGAGCAGCAGGCAGCTATTTCAGTAACTAAGGAGCATTTAGGGGTTAGGTAGCTTGCTCAAGGACACCACAACATCTAGCCATGGTGGAGAGTCGAACCTCTGACTGGTCTGGTCCCAAGACAACAGTCCTACCACTGCCCCACAGTCACCCCCAGATGGACAAACTATAACTAAACACTGCAGATTATTAAAAGGATTATGATACTGTTAATGAATATAGTTGTATTGACAAGTAGTTGCAATAAATTCACTTTTTCTGTCATCTTGGCACTCACAACACTCACTGTGTGCGTTAGCATTTCAGCCTCTACCATCTAATTCAGCTGTGGACATTAAGAGCACTGGGGGGGAAACTAGTTTATGTTCATCTGTCCATCCATTGTCTTTACCCATTTCCATTGAGGGTGACAGGAGCTGATGCCCGGCAGGGTACACCTGAACACATCACCAGTCAGTTCACATTTACACCAAGGAATGGTTTCCATACATCCATTTTCTTTACTCATTTGTTTTGTCCAGGGTCACAGAGGAGCTGTTTATCCCCAGCTGTCTCTGTGAGAGAGGCGGGGGACACCCTGGACAGGTCTCCAGTCTTTCACAGGGATACATGGAGACAAACAAGACAAACAATCATTCACACTCACTCACTAACACCGCAGGGACAGTTTAAACTTAATGAACTTAACATGCAGGTTTTAATGGTCAATGTGTGAAAACCAGACTACATACACTCACAGGGAGAACAAGCATTGAAGGCAGAAAAATACCACAGTTTGGAGTCGAACCAGCAACTTTCTTGCTGCGAGGACTATGACTATGCTGCCAGGCAAGCTGGAAAGCAGTCTGTGATAGTAATTATAATCCTTTGCCATATTGATTTTGTGCACAGATATTTCAATGATAATACATCTTACTTTTTTTTTTCATTCAACCTTTATTTATACAGTTTAATCCCATTGAGCCTCAGGCACTCATTTACACGAGAGACCTGATTTACTGATGACAACAGTGGACAAAAAAGAGAACAATAGACTATCATAAAGAATGCGTACAAACTGAGAATAACAAATTAAAATAAAATGGTATTTAAAAGAAAATGTAGCAAAAAACAGCTACTGTAGGTTGAAAGGTGGTGTAGAAAACTAAAAACAAGAACATGGCTGCATTGGTTTTTCCCAGGAACTTAGCAGATGTTTAAAGCCACTTAGAGAGGTCAAGGTTGAGAGCTTCAGATCTTTTTGCAAGATATTCCAGGAAAGAGGAGTGGAGTAGGAGAAGTCCCTTTGTTCAGGCTGCACTGAGGGAACACTGCAGGTAATAATGTCCTGAGAGCGCACGCTGTAGCTGCACTCACGCAGTGACATGTAGGAGGAGATGTATCAAGGCAGCAGACCAAGAAGTGATTTAAAGATGAAAATGTACCAGAGAGAGAGTCTGTGTGAAGTTAATGATGTCCAGTGAACCAGGTGCAGTGATAGATACAATAGTTAAAGCCAGTTATGAATCTTTGTGCACCATGATAGACAGAGTCCAACATCTGCAACGTGCTTGTAGGAGCGTTCATGTAAATAATGTCACCGTAGTTAATGGAGGGAAGGAAAGTCACAGTTACAAGGTGTTTCCATTTCTGAACAAAGAAACCCAATTTCACTTTCAGTTTCCTTACTGGAGCAATTGTGATACATTGTGCAGCTTTAATTTTAATTTTTTTTGTGAGTATCTCATGTATATCAGAGTTTGTTGTCCTTAATTTCCTGATTCTCTCTAAAAACCAGAAGATAGTAAATGTAGCATGTGTGCTGCACTGTTCTGTTCTATATTCTGCTCAAGCGGCCGTAAAGGTTGCTCATCATTTCTTCCCAAAAGTCTTTTCCTTCTTTTAGGATGCAATGCTATGGTTGCATTGGTTGCTAATTTAATTAATAAACATCCCATCATGTTCAATTTATGCCCTTAGTATGAAATGTTATGAGCTTATAATGTTGCTAGGAATACTGTTTTGGCACAAACGCTCCGTGAATTGAGCACATTATTCTATAAATCTACTGTGATCAAGTTAAATTTAAAATTTTGTTTTTCTGAAAAGAAGAGGAAGCTTTGTGTTGCTTTAGAACATTATAAGATGGCAAAAATAACCTGAATTAATCAGCCTCAGGTGTTGCCAAGAAAATCAAGTTAAGGCTTGTGAGAATCTTGAGTCTTTAAATAAAAACAAATACAGTTATTCATTAAAAAATATCTGTCAAAGAGGTTAATTGTAGTATAAACAGGAGGATATTTGTTTAATTGTCAGTAATCTTTTAATAATTGCATAGTTCAGGTCTGCATCTTTTCTTGATATAGCCTAAAACTCAAAATGTTTGGAACTATTTCCAATAAAATAAAGAGCTTTACAGGTTGAGTCGTGAGCCAACAATGGTTTGCTTTCTTTTTTAAGCCTTTTATTTCAAGATTCCTTTCAAGTGTTGTTGGACAGAACATAACATCAGCTTCAGTTTATTTAAGATGTGCCATAGCCCAGGGTTTTGTAAGCTGATATGCACGTCTTTTAGATTAAGCCTGAAAACACAGGTTGCGATCATAAAGCGCTCGTCTGCAAACATGAAACTGATATGTGAGTGAGATCACGGGTGAAGTTCCTGCTCCCCTCAGATCATCTGAGAGCAAATTCTGTCACGCTCGTTTGGCTACTTAATGATGGACTGACAAATCCAAAGATAATCTGTCTAGTTTGAAAACAGAGCGCCTTCTAGTGAGAAGCCCAGTTAGAAATATCTCTGCTCAGTGCTGAGGAGTCGCATAAATACAATCTGGGGTTTCACAGAAAAAAAACTAATCCTTAACACCACCTGCCAGCTCTCCAGAAAGGTGTTTGTTGAGATTGTAATTAAATAAAGATATCTAGTATTTGCTTAGATTTATGTTTTCCCCAGGGCAAAGTAAAAGACATTCAAACAGGACATTTCTTACTTATTAATCTAAAAACCCATAATATATGTTGTGTACTCCAACACACTGAAGCTCCATGGAAACTGCTTCCTCTATGTGACAAAAAAACAAAAACATAGTGACTCATGGGAGCTCTTTAGATCAGAGCAGAATGTGCAAATCTGACACCCTGTCAAACATTGTGCATTTAACCTAAAACACAAAGCTTTGATGCCCTCTTTGACCTCAGAGCTTTTTATTTATTTTTTTTAATGGCAACCATGTTTCACATGTGCCAATGCAGAGTAAGCCCAAACATGAGGAACATAAGGAATGAATGGGAGTATAAGAGGAGAAAAACCGTTCTGTGAGTGGCACCTGATGTGTTCACAAGGCCTGAGAGACAGAGAGATGGCAAACATGAACAAAAGATCCCGAGTCGCTCCTGAGAACATGAACTGCTGAGACTTATCAGATGTCGAGACAAGGAGCTGAAGTGGAAACAGCAGTTGTGGTTGTCAGGCCTTAGTCATACCATCAAAAGAGCTTTGTGAGTTATTTCCATAAAACTGTCAAGGTGTGTTGTAATTTTTACTTGGAAATGTCGTCCATCTTGTGAGCTGGAAAACTTAAAAAGTACATAACATGCTAACTTCCATTTTGGTGTGTAGCTGCATCTAAGTGTATGAAAGGTCACTATAAAAAATTGAGTTGTTGCGTCAAAATCCAAGACCTATCATTTGAGAAAACTGTGTTTTCTGACTGAAGATAGATTTTATACTTGGATTGTTGAGCATGGACTTTTGGTGTGCTTTCTAGTTTTTATATTGCTTAAAAGTATAGTTTCCTCAAATGATTGGGGTGGCCCAGATTAATCTCTGGTGGCCAAGGCCACCATTGCCCCCCTCCTGGCTCTTCCATTGCACATGGTGGTGGATAAAATTGATCCGTCTGATGACCAGGTTCTGTCACTCTGCGCTGCCTCGGACAAGAAAGAAAAAAAAAAGCTACCTCTGTTCTTCTCCACAGTGTAACTCCAACACATTTAAATATCTTACACCAAAAACATTAAGGTTTATTTACATCCCCTGTTTAATTTCAGTCCAGAAAAATGCTTATTTTGAAAACTGCAAACATTCACTGTTCAAATCCCTCAGAGACGGGACATCTGCATATCGCTTGTTTTATGTAGAACATTACAAACATTAAGTGTTAATGTAGTCCTAGTTGTAGATAAGTAAAAAGTATTTCCATGTATCAGTAAGATTCAATATTTGTGTTTTTTCTGTAGGTTTCCAGCCTGTTCAAAGATGGAACAATAGGAGGGAACATCAACATAGCCATCGTGGGTCTTGTCCTTCTGGATGAAGAGCAGGTGAGAAGCTCGATGTCAGGGGAAATCCTCAAACGTGCCCAGAAAAAAACAGCACAGTAACAACATGTCCTCCATGGAACCTCAAAAACACAGAATATTTCAAATAGATTCAGTATTCCCAGAAATCTCTGCAGTTTTTATTATTTGTCCTAACTTCTGAAGACTTCTAAAGGCTTTCATTAGAAACTTTATGGTTCTTCTGAACTTTATCTGAAGAACGATATTTTTTAGAGTTCAATAGTTAGAAAGGAAAAACAACAGAAGCCATAAAAACAGAAGCAATTTTATCAGAATTATGATGACAGTGATGGTTAAAAATTTGGACACTGTAACTGTAGACTTTATATACTGTATGTCAACACTAACATGTTGCACTCTTTGACACTTACACAATTATATGTTCCCACAATAATAAATGATTTATTTAAATGTTCCTGTCCTGTGTTCAAGGTTATACACTAATCTTACATGCAAAGAAAAACTTGAATGTGAAATGAGAAAGAAAGTGGGGTTTTAGAAGCAGTGAAAGCTCCAGCAGGTGAACTGAGCAGTCAAAGCAGAGGAATCAATGTCTTTTTTTTTGTTTGTTTTGTTTTTGTCCCGGAGTGAGGAGGGGGAATTGGAAATACCCTCCATCCGTCCATTCGTCCACCCGTCTGTCCATGTATGCATGTTTTAAGCATGATAACTTGACAAGTAAGTGCGGTACCAACTTCCATCTAGGTGTGTGGCTACATCTAAGCATAAAAAATATCCTTATCCACTGCTGTATTTGGTTGCCATGTCAAAATCCAACATGGCCATCCCCATATATGTGAAACCCAACCATCTCAATCATTTGATGAAATTATGCTATCTAGTTTTTATTTTGCATAAAAGTATAGTTTACTCAAATAATTGGAGGGGCTGTAGAGGTGGCCAAATATTAAACTATGGTGGCCAGTCCATCAGTGGCCACCTGCAACTGACACTAAGTAAAGATAAAGAAAAGAAAATAGAAAGTGTTAAAAGCCACCACTGGCCACCTCCTGGCTGTGCCATTGTGCCTGGTTGTGGATAAACTTGCTCCCTCCACTCATCAGGATCTGTCACTCTGCGTTGCCTCTGACAAGAAAAATAATTAATAAATGTCTTCTTATTCACTGTAACTCCTACTCGAATATTTTACACCAAAAACATTGTTTACTTGAAATCCCTGTTCAGTTCCAGTCCAGAAAAACTTAGAAACTCATCTAAACACCCCCCACCCCCACCCCACCCCCACCCACACACACACACACACACCACCACCACCCCCAAATATTCATTTGAATTCCCTCATAGATGGGGGGGGGACGACAAGGCATATTGCTTGTTTTATAAGAAAAGACAACACCACTTTCTTGGACATTTTTGATCAAGCAGGGATCCAGAATGTGCACAAAATTCTGGTATCTTTAGCTCTAAAAGACAACGTCTCTCCATCCGTCTCTGTTTTACCTCACAGGATGGTTTGGTGATCAACCATCACGCTGATCACACCCTGAACAGCTTCTGCCGTTGGCAGTCAACTCTGGGGGGCAGAGAGGGCCGACACCATGACCACGCCATCCTCCTGACAGGACTCGACATCTGCTCCTGGAAAAACGAACCCTGTGATACCCTGGGTAAGACTCCTACTCTGTGCAGTGCTCACAAATCTGAGGATATTTTGTAACACCAAGTACCTGAAATTCAGAAACCAAGTAAAAAAAAAATCCTACTGGGAGACTGATCCAGTTCAGGACAGATCCTGAGGTAATAAGAAGTGAAAACATTCCAACATAAGGCATACATTTTCATGGTACACTTCAAAAACTATCACTGTTTCATAGTATTGCAGATTTTTCTTGTTAGTTGCAATGAATTTTAGAAAACTAAAACAGAAGGACCTTTTCTTGGTTGAAGAAATGCTTCAAAAACAGATTTTGAATAGAAGCATGCTGAGAAGTCTGACAGGCTGGAGAGAAGCTGTTCACAGACTGCTGACATTCACTGTCTGGATGCATAATTTTCTCAAACATCATGGTTAAACAAATGTAAATGTAAATGACATCACATTATCCAGCCTACTGTTTTAAATCTGCTTTGACATCGTCTGAGATAAACTCCTTTTCTCTCCCACACCAGGAGTGAGTTTGAATGCCCCCAGCTGAACCAGATGTTAAACAATCTGCAGGTTTCCTTTTCCAGTGGGCTCACCAATGTTTTTCTAAAGTCTTGTAGAATAATGGGAAGTTTAACATCAGATGTAAAGCAGTGAAAATCATTATCTGGGGAGCATATCTCTAATAAGATGTGAAATGTTTACAAGATAAGAAACATGCTAAAGCAATGATCTTAAACTCACATAGGAAATAGAATATCAGAATAAGACCTCAAATACATAAAAACAACTTATAACACAGTGAACATCCATCCATCCATTTTCTTTACCCGCTTATTCCATTTTTGGGTCACGGGGGTCGCCGGTGCCCATGTCCAGCAATCACTGTGCGAGGGGCGGGGTACACCCTGGACAGGTCGCAAGTCCATCACAGGGCCACATAGAGACAAATGAGACAAACAACCATTCACTCTCTCACTCACACCTAGGGACAATTTAGAGTTACCAATCAGCCTAACATGCATGTTTTTGGTCTGTGGGAGGAAACCGGAGCACCCGGAGAAAACCCACTCATGCACAGAGAGAACATGCAAACTCCTCCCAGAAAGGCCCCTGGACCGGGGTTTGAACCAAGGACCTGCTCGCTGAGAGGCAGCAGCTCTACCACTTGCGCCACTGTGCTGCCCACACAGTGAACAGCATTTTTTATTTTTTTTTACTAAATCCTAGGACTAAAAAATACTGCTGTGTTTTGCTGGTTTCCAATAAATATTGTTGTCTGTTTTAAATTAAATAGTCCTATCCTTGTATTTGATAAGCAGTAAAGGGTCAGCAGTTTTACTAGCAGAAACAGACTAAAAATAAAAATTTAAAAATAAAAAAATGTGTTTCCATTTCCATGCAGCTTTTTTTTAAATAACATAAAAGGTTGTGCTGTTTTGATGCTAAATATGCTACAGATTTCATCAATGATTAAAAAAACCTTTGTCATAAAGACAAATCTACCTTGCTGATTTTTCCCACTTTCAAAGCAGCCCAACATCTCACTGTAAAAAAAAAAAGTTAGCTTCCATACAAGCAAAACAAAGAAAACTTCTGACAGTATTTTTGAAAGATGGTGTGAATTTCATGGATCCATCCATTATCTTTATCCATAATTGGTGAGAGTAGGAAGCAGGTGGAAGAGAGCCTGGAGAGGTAGAGGCATTGTTCCACAATCCTGGCCCTGGAAGGACACTATCCTGGATGTTTGAGATGGTTCTCTGTTCCAACACACCTGGTATGAATGAATGAGTGATTAACAAGCTTCAACAGAAAAACAAACAAAACAACAAAAACATGTGTAGTAGGTGGAGTAGGAAGGTGTAGATCTAGTAGGACACAGTGGCACACCAGGACCAGAATGAAGTCCACTGGGTGGATGTATACCCTGAAGAGAAGAACAATAAAAGCTAGTAGAAGTGAAAAAAATGTGAATGAGTAAGAAACAGGCATGACAGTGAAGCTGCAGGGAGTAAAGGTATTGATGAGTGTATCTGGAGTCAACCATTCAGAGCAATGGGAGTGGAGTGAAGATGGAGCTGAGTTGTAAGGCAAAGCTCTCTGTTTACTGGTCGGTCTACGTTCCTACCCTCACCCTTGGCCACGAGCTCTGGGTAGTGACTGAAAGAATGAGATTGTGGATACAGGCGGTTGCAATTAGTTTCCTCTACAGGGTAGCTAGACTCTCCATTAGAGATAGGGTGAGAAGTTCAGTTATCCGGGAGAGACTCGGAGTAGAACCACTGCTCTTCCACATGGAGAGGAGTTGAGGTGGTTCAGGCATATGGATGCTTCCTGCACAAGGATGCTTCCTGGGTGCCTCCCTAGGTAGGTGCTTCGGGCTTGTCCGACTGGCAGAAGACCCCTGAGAAGACCCAGGACACTAGAGAGACTATATGTCTCTCGGTTGGCCTGGGAATGCTTTGGAGTCCTCCCAGAAGAGCTGGAAGAGGTGGATGTGGAAAGGGCCTCCGAACAGTCTCCCTGCTCAAGCTGCTGCCCCCGTGTCTCAACTTCAGAACAAGCAGAAGATAATGGATGGATGGATGGATGGATGGATGGATGGATGGATGGATGGATGGATGGATGGATGGATGGATGGATGGATGGATGGATGGTGTATGATGTATGTATGATGGATGGAT